GGAGGACTGAGAGTGCGGGTGAAGATGAGATTTTCCCACCCTTCCTGGGCTGCCCCAGCTGTGAAGCGCTATGCCTGAGCTAATACAACCTACCTGTCATCAGGGCTTATTAACGTGGGCTTGGCAGCATCCTAAATGCAGGCATGAACATTTTGGTTGGCTTGGAGAGCAGGCAGAGCGTGCTCACATCTGTCTGCAATATGCCACGTAGACATCGCTGTAGTTTGGGGAATTTTTACGTGTTCTGGTAGTCCCATTGAGGAGTTTTTCACCTTGGAGATGGGAACACAGCGCTTTTGGTGGACCTGGGGGTGGGTGAGCACACCAGTCTCGCTGGCAGTGCCCACCCCGCTGCCCTTCAGCTCCTTATCTCTCTCCTAAAGGACCTGTAATGCTCCACATAGCATGAATTTTAAGTACAAAACCAGCCAAATCAGGTCACATCTGTTGTGCAAATATCACCCTGCCATGTAACCTCCAGCGTGTTTGGAAGCAGCTTCGCTGTCGGCTGCAGCGGGGCTTTCCCCGGGGTGTGTGCGCTGCTGGGGCCGTGGCAGAGCAGAGGGGCTCCGTCCCCCCACGCTGCTTGTGCCACCGAGCACGTCGGGACATGGGACATGCAGGACCTGCTCGGGATGAATCCAGCCCGCGGTGCCTGGCACAAGGGGACTCCTGGGGTGTGCAGAAGGAGCCTCTGCCTGCCCCGTGCGAGGGCTGTAGACTGGCTACTTGCTAAGAAGCATTTATTAATTTGTGCCTGCTATGGCATGAGAGACTGTCCAAAGAGGGTGAGCGCAGCAGGGCGAAGCTGTTACCTCTCGCTGGAAGGAGGCGTGCTGGATGGGTTGGCTGTTGGCACGCACGTGCAGTCTGCTTTTGGCTATAGTGCGTTCTCTAAATGGCTGTTTTTATTCCTCCTCCGAACAGAAACTGGGTGAAGGACTAGCGAAGCTGCGGACGGCGAGAGAGGCTCCGTCAGACTGCATGTGCCCCCCAGGTAGGTGCAAACCCGCACGGCCACGCCAGACTGCCCGGGAGCCGCCTGCTCGCTGGACCGACGCCGCAGAGCTCCTCCTCTCCTATTTTATATATTCCTCTGTATCAAGGAAAACGCGCCAAGCAGTGGTTTTTCCCAAGCCGAAGCACTCTCTTGTGCTCGAGACTGTTAACGTCTTCCATTGCCTTGCTTTGGCCTGTTTACAGATAAAGGAGTTTGAGGTTTGGACAAAAGCGACGTTTGGCTATAAGAATAAAAAAGCAAATAGCTTTACTCGGTTGTGAGCCCTGGGTGTTGGGCCAAAACAATTTAGAAGTAGTAACAAAATCACTGGGGCTTAATGCAAGTGTGATAATTAAAAGCTGCAGCCTCTCTGCCTTTTAGGAGGGTAGCGACTTCGCCGGCGCTGCCGTGCTGTAGGAAAGCTGTCACTGATTGTTTAAATTTCCTCCCAGAGTTTAATGAACTTCTTAAACTGTCAAAACTTCCTGTTCTGCTGTGGAAGTGCATGCTCCTTGGAAACAATAAACAGCTTAGATTAGTTGGTAAAGGAATCTCATTTATAGAAATGCTCTGCTAAGTGCTCTGCTGTCATACTTAACGGCAGGAATGACTTTGGGCTGAGGCTCTTCTCTCTTCTTCTCTCTTCTTCTCTCTTCTTCTCTCTTCTTCTTCTTCTTCTCTCTTCTTCTTCTTCTCTCTTCTTCTCTCTTCTTCTTCTCTCTTCTTCACAAGTAGCAAAAGATGGGTGAAAGATGTGCAGTGCTTTGATGGGGGGGAAAATGCATAGGCATGTTGTAAAGCCTTGCCAGCAGCAGATAGTTCAATTCTGATTTTAAGGAAAAAAGCAAACTTGAAATGCTACGTGTAGATGCATAACAGGCAAATGGACAGTCTCAGATTTTCCTTCTGTCCTGGGTATGAATCCTACCAGGACACATAGCATTGGTCCATACTCACAGGACAAATATGATGGACTCTTTCTCACAAGATTACGTGTAATAGACTCAGAAATATTTCAGTAACGATGCTCTTAAATGTGCTGCTGTGGTTGTGCTCGCTGGTTTTCTAGTGGAAGGCTCCTGTGGGCATCCTGTACACCTCGCTGCCTGATAACCAAACCCCGTCAGCTGAGACACACACCGGGCTTATTTTCAGGTCTTCACACACCGGTGGTCAAATTATTTTTCTCCTTTCTGATGTGCAGACCTAACCGAGTCCGTCAGCCTCGTGGGGCTCTGCAGACTGCGTCTTGCTCTGGTCTGTGCAGCCAAGGCACTACTGCTGCGCTTAAGTGGTCAAGAGGATTTTCCTTCGCTCTGCAGAAAGCAATTGGGATTGAAGAGGCTCCTTTGTGGCCAGGAAAGTCCCAATTTGGTTCTGGGTCACCGAGTTTGCTGGCTGCTGTGTTTGAGAGATGGGGGGAAGAGAGGAGGGGGAAGGTTTTCCCACGTGCTGCTGAAATACTCATTACAGTCATTAGTAACGAATGTCAAAGTAATTTGTGAGCCGAAGGAAGGAGAAGTGATTTCCCAGTGGGTAGGAGATGTCGCATCGGTGGCGGCTCCTGGCTACCACCGTCGGGGAGCCAAGCACTGTGCTAAGGCAAGGACACGCTGCCAAGCTGTCGTGCAGACTTTTGGCTACTTTTGAGCAAATCAAAGGACTCTTTGCCTGTGTTTCTTTTCTTTTTTTTTTTCCTCTTTCTCCTGAAGAAGGCTGAGTTGTCCTCTGGTCTGTAGTTACAGAGCTTGGTCCAGAAACATCCCGAGAGCTTGTGACCCTCGCTGGCATTTGCTGCAGAGCTACACCAGGTTGTAGACTAAAAGCAAAGCCTCAGTTTGTGTCCGTGAACCAAAACTTAGCCCCTGGGGAAGAGAAAACCCTGTCCATGGAGAGGACGGGGAGGTGGGCAGATCCTGCCAGCCCTGCAGGGCCAGGAGAGGTGGGGAGCACGGCCAGCATCTGCAGCCCCGCTCCCGCTTCCCAAAGGTGGCTGGAGGCTGGGGGGTGTCCGAAACGCCTGGCCTGGGGTCTTTCCCTCTCCAGAAACCCTGCTAAGCTGATTTCCTTCTTATCGCTGGATTTGCAGCAAGCTGTCAGTGATGGTGCTGCCGGTGTGATCCCTCCCTTGGTGCCTGGTTGGGAAGAGGGGTACTCGCCTCCTCTGCGGGAATAAACTGCAGGATCAGAGCTCGCCTTGTGAGCTGGGCTTCGTTTGGGCAAGAGCTGCGTTCCCTTGGAGCCAGGCACTTCAGGGTTTTGTTGGGGTTTGGGAGGTGGGGTGGTGTTTTTTGGGGATCCCTTTGGTAAAAGCAGCTTGCTGCGTGTTAAAAGCAGTCTGGGACAAGATGACTATGATCCGTTGAAAAGTTAAATAAGGCTCAAATTATTTCAACTGCAGCGAAGTCCTAAAGCGGTGCTTGTAAAAACAAACCCCAACCAAACAAAACAAACCACCTCCCCCCAAAAATCCCAAACCCCCAACCCCCCTTGTTCAAAACCCGCCCGGTTTTGTGCTTTGTGCTCTGCAGGGGGGCACCTCTTTGGCTCCGGGGCTCAACTGGGTTGTTATGGGGCACCTTGACCTCTAAACCGGAGTACCCTGGCTCTGATGCTGGGGATGCTGCAAAAAGGCGTCTCCGCAGTTGCTCTCGGCATCCGTGTGCTGCTCTGAGTCGAGTCGTTTGGCTTTATTTATTCATCCAAAGCGGAGGGGGGACGAGGACGACGGCTCCGCGTCACTTCGGCTGCGTCGTGGTTCGGGCATTGCTGCGGCAGAGGGACAGCAGAGCATCCTCAGGGGTTTGGGGCAGCCTGGCCAGGAGCACGTTGGGCTCCGATGCAGGCTGTCCCCACATGTTGGCTCGCTGTGAAACAGCAGCTCGATATTTTTACGATTGTCCTGCCCTGAGCAAGGCCTGTGATCTTCTGCAGAGAGGCCCCTCGTCCCCTGAGCCTTCAGCCTCTGCCTCTGGTGGGGTCCTCGCACAGCCCTGGCCCCGAGATGAATCCCGGCAGCTGCAGGGCCGTTTGTGTGCACGGCGTTTCGGACAGCCGCCGGCTGACGAGCGCTTGGCGGTGGGTGGAAAGCAAGGCGAAAACTTCATCCTCGCCAGGCTAGAACTTCACGCTTGCGGATGCTTTGTTTGCAGTTGCGTGGCCTCTGGCTGCCTTTTTATTTTTTTTAAGGAGTCTTTTTTTTTTAATTTTTCCTCCTTGTATTTTTAAGCACCGTCTTTTGAAACCTGGGGTGTGAAAGGTTCTTGTTAAATACGATATTTGCCATGCCAAAAAATCTTCAGCGTCTGTGAGAAGGTCCCTCTAGAGCTCGAGGTGCTGGATGCGCTGTGCCAGAGCCTGAAAGCAACCGTTTCCTCTTGAATCCAGGGAAAAATAAGGCTTGAAACAAGCCCCAGTCCGCAGAAAATGCCTTGCCCGGCAGCTGGTCCTTGCCGTATTGCAGACTGAGGGTGTGAAAATCTCCAGCTCTTTCGGCTGCCCTTGCACGGTGTATTTCGACGTACGCTCTGTTTCCATGTGCCTTGTTATTTAACAGCACCTCCGCCAGCTTTGCGCTCCGGAGCCCGAACTCCGAAATTCCTGGCTGCTGGGTGATGCGTATGCCTGTCTCCATCCTCAATTCACGCTGAGATGGTGTCATATGCTTTTGAATGTATGTATATATTACAAAACAGTGTTAAATGTTGAGTGCAGTAATCTGATGTTCCAGTTAAGATGTGACAAATATTTCCCAATAACGGCTTGGCAGCGGGAAGA